AAAGTAAATTTTATAGCAGGTCAGCACAAATAAATATATACGTGTATACATGTACAGCTATGTATATGATAAAAATTCAAAAGTTGATAAACAAGATATTAACTATTACTCGAGAATTCTACTCCAGATTCCAACAGATGGCGTATGAATGTTTAATACACAGCAAGATGAAAACACCATTTTTATAACATCAGTACAAAAGCAAATTGTAGCTGCATTGTTTTAATTATAGTTTGATGTACTGGTTGCCCATCCAAACTGGGCACCGTAATATGTCAACATGTAGATAAATTCAGCAAATGGAACCGGGTAATCATTGTGTTCAAGGATAACTAAACAGTCTGAGACAATAAACAGCGAAGATCCAATGCAGCTCATAAGAATTGCTTTGTCTCCAGGATTTTCCTCCAGGGCCGAAGCAGCCTTCCATCCTGCAACAAATAGTGGGATGAAGTACAGCAGTAAGAAGCCTTTGAAGATATACGACTCAGAGCTTCCTTGGACGCTCAAGTATATATTGATGTACATAAGACCAAAGAGCCATGTGCTGCTACTGTTTCCACACTTATGACGCCCATCAATTTCTATGGCAATTATGTAACATGCAAAAACAAACATGAATAAAAATCCGCCGACGAACATTGTGTATGGCAAGGCAACAAAAATGTCGCCAACAACAGAGAGAGCAAGTCCAAGCAAAATACAGAAGCTATATGGATCTTCCGGTATCACTGTTTCTAAATTTAGTGCTTTTGTTTTGGCGGGAAATTTTGCTCTTGTTGCTATGACGTATCCGATCAATGAGAGGATTGGTAGAATCTTAAAGATAGTCCCGAGAAACGTAGACCCAGGTTGGTATGGTTGGAGTACAAAGAATACCGCAGAAACCACAAACGGAAGCAGATAAATCTTCTGCTTTCTGCTGAAAACTGATAAAGCCATTTTGACTGCCTCCATTGTCACTCTGTGTCTATTCTTTTAACTGAAATAAAGAAAAAAGAGTAAGAACAAAAGAAACCACCCATATTGTCTATTTATCTTTATCACATTCATCGCAATGATATGTCCCCTTTAAATTAATCTCAGGACAAATCTTTTGGGTTTTGTAACACGTACGTAAGTTGTTGTTTCTATATCTTAAAAGAACATTTAATATTGTTTTAACTATACTTAAAAATCGTCCATATAATTATGTATCTATACAATTATGTAAATGTATTTAATGGCTATTTATTAGATCTCTGTCGTGATTAATCAATAAAGAATTGGGTTAATATCTTGAAATGACTACTGATTTAAGCTTATTTCATCACCTTAGTGCAGTAACGGGTTAATTCCTATTAAATTTAATAGGAGTTACTGCACTATAGTAATGTTGCGAATTTAAGTTAGTGAAATATTAAATTTTAATAGACAAGAATCTGGCACTTTATAGTGTAGAGCCGGACCATTCGTGCAGACTGGCTAACCTTTATATATAGCTGGTTGGGTCAATTTAATGTTTGTATTTTGATATTTAATTCACTTGTATTTCTAATGGACTGCTCCAGATTTATAGTAAGGCAAGTCCATTTACACAAATTTAGTATGGTATATCGTATTATAACTTATTATACATGTACATCTAATATCTCGTATACTTAACCGAGCGGATATGACATATATAACATAACATAAATTGTGAATAGAATTACACGTTACATTAGTTATCATAGTTATACACCCATGTCATCAGAGTTTAAATAATTTTACAGCACGTTGTACACGATCTTGAGGAAATGAAATAAAGTTTATCAATGAGAGCAAATAAATGTACCATCGCAAGGTTTATTCAACTTACATATATACTGAGATAATCTCAAATGGTATTATTTTTTTACCACTCTTCACGGTAGTGCTGAAAATCAACGTATTTGCATAACGTTGGAACAGTTTTTTAGAATTTATGAATGTACGTATACGTGTTAATGAATATATTAATGTTTACTACATTGGTTTAAACTTATTTACATGTACATGTAAAACAAATGAAACAACGTAAAAGTGACACATTCACGTATACATGCTGTGTTCAAAGTCCTAAACAATGACCTTCGCACTGCTATCAAAATTAATTATCTTTAGTAGCCTCTCTGATCAATATACTATGAGGCTACAGATCTAAGACCATTAGAAATACATACTGGTATATTCATGTACTATACGGATTCGAGAACACAAGATCTTGAATTGTTACAGGTCGGGTAAATGAAAGCGCACTTAAAAATATAAGTTTGATGAGTTGAGCATAAAAAATACAATATTTGTTAAAGGTGTGCCGTTTATTAACACTGCCATACTGCGACATTTATTTCTAATACCCTTACAATGGTACTTTAAAGAAAATCGCAAAAGAGAGTTTATATTAAGATCAAGGTCAATACAGTGAAATTGTTTACAAAGTAAATAAGGGATATAAAAGAAACGTACCTGATAAAAACAGCTGACAAAAAGTCCTCAAAATCGTGAATAACTTAAACAAATGTGTAGCAATCAATACATTTATCTATGCAGGATACACTAGCGCAAACACTTCTTAAGATTAAGTGTTCTATTTATAAACGTACGTCGTCTTAACATGGGTCGCGCATGGTTTGCATATAATGATTTTCCCGTTTTAACATAAGACCGTATTCGATCGATATAACAAAGTAGTATTGGCGGCGAAAAAAAAGCTCACAGAAAAAATGCCAGCAAACAAGAGCTGTATGAATCATAGCGCTTCCACTGGGACGCTCTGTGCGCCGAGTTAATTCGGAGCGATATATTTATATATTGATCTCACATACACACAATTTATGAGCTTCTTTAATCAGGAATCCCATCTTCTATTATAAAGTTTAATAATAAGATACGGCAATAAACAGACGTGCATTCCTATGATAGATACAGGTATAATCGTGCTTATTAAATTTAACCTATCACGTTCTCAGCTATTATTAAATGCTCTGTTAACATTGTATTGTGCTGTTTGAAAATATATGTTTATACTTTTGTTTAAAAGAGTGTATGCATTACATTGATAATACTTGGAATGTGTATTGCTTTTGTTTTAAATTTATGAGATAAACAAAATCTATTAAATTACGTAAATATTTCGATTTTTGATAGTTTGGTTCATTGCAGCATTAGTAATACCTGTAGTATACATTTGTCATTTGTATATAAAATAACAATACAATTTATTCATTGTTGTCCCTATAAGCGTTTTTATGATTACTTCCGAAATTCCAATATCATTTTCGTTTCGGTTTTTGTTTTGTTAATAAATTTTGTTTTATTTCTCCTAAAAACAGTCTTTTTACACCTCTAGCTATATGGCTATTCGTTTAGAGATTGATATTCCAGAAATCGTTGTTTCAAGTCACTCCAGCTCTTTGTTTTGTTTCCATTATTGGGAGCAAAGTAATTTATTTATTCTAATAGAAAAAAAATACTGGAGTATCTCTAATCTAAGAAACATGAAACTTTTTCTACTCATCTTATCTAATAAACGAATTATGTTGCTTCCTAGCTGTAATCATTCGCCATGATAATACAGTCAAACCTTACTTAAAACATATCCCTCTTCATAACCCTAATTTCCAATATAATTATCATATTGTATTATCTGTTTAAGTGTTTTATGCTCTATAGACAATACAAAGTATTACAAATGGATAATGCTCAAGTTGCATTAATTTTGTATATGCTCTTTGTACAGACAAAGTGTTTTGTCATACGTAACTTTTCTCACATAATGCAGTAGTAATATAATGCAAATATTGCAGTAACTAGATGATGCATCGAATGGCCATACATTTGAACCTGTCTGTTCTTTATACATCTTGATTGTATTTTGAAAAGTAGTCTATGACCTTTACAGTGTTGATGTGAACTTAAACCCAACCAAACCAAAACATATTTATGAAGAAGAAAAAAAAGAATAAGACATGAATATCACATTGTCAATACAAACGAACGCACTTATACTTATCTTACTACAAATATCTCAAAATGTATGTTTTTCCACGAAAACATGCATATGTAAACAATATACGTAAATATATGATTAATGCCAAATTGTTAATTTACTTTGATCAAATGAACGCGCATGTTTGTTTTGGCCAGTCGCATTTTTCATATAACAGTAGAAAGAACGATACAATATTTTGGCATTTCTTACAATAATTTATTACAATAATTACATATAATATTACAGGAGATACAATACACATGTATTAATTAGCACGTCACTAATCAGGAGAATATTTGACACGATTCATGTTCCACAGTACCCGCCCTCCTTTCAGGAACCATTGATATTTCGTTACACTTACTTTAACAATAGACAATATCATTTTCAAACATTTCAATATCTATTTACCAAAAAACGTTCAATTGACATTAAGTTATCATAACACAAAGATGTTTCAAAATTAACTTAAGATGTAAATGAAGATATCTTGCCATCGATAATTAAAACTTCCAGCTTTATTATACATTATATGTAATATTATAAAAATGACTACTGAACATTCGCTGTCAATATAAATATTTTAATTACTACTAATAGAACTGTCCAGACTGATGCTGATCATGACATTTTATAAAAAGAAGTGGAGGTACTAAGTACCTTACAAAATAGAATTATAAACTTCTGTTATAGAAAATATTGCACATTTGAACATTGCTTTCTCTTTTTCGCAAGCAAAATATCCTAATTAAGTTCCTTGCACGTACTAAGACTGAGTAAAAGTTGAGCTATATAGTATGAGCTCATGATCATGGAAGGTGCAAAAGGAACTGTAAATCCCCATTTATCTACAGCTATAAGACAATCAGAAATTGTAAACACTAAGGCTCCTGCGCATCCAGTTAACGCCGCTTTACTCCCTTCCGATTCATAACGTGCCGTGGCGCGCCATGCTACAGCAAAGATTAGTGCGCAATACATGCCAACTAACGCAGAAAGAACATAAGAATCAATACCACTTTGTATTATCAGATATATGTCTAATCCAAGCAGTATGAACAATTCTTTAGTTCTGCTCTTTACTGCACTGCCATCAAGTCCTTTGAAATATAAGATTTGTGCAACAGCAAACAACAATAAGCCCGGTACAAACAACACTTCCCGCCATACTAAGCAAGCGTCTCCAAGAGCAGAAAAAATAAGAGCGAATAAAAAATGTCTGGCGCGATGGTCTTCGGGAATAATATTATCTTTCTTTGGTAGTCCTTTGAAGTTATTGGCTGCAGATATTACGAAGAAGCACAGACTAAGAATCGGAAGAATTTTAAAAAATACAGAGCCAAGCGTCTCTGCGGGATATCCCCACACTGGCATGTACAGAACAAAATAGATCAGCCATGTCGCAAAGAATGGCACCAGGTGCAGTTTCTGCTCACGTGATAAAGTTATAGAGTATTGTTCAGGTATTTCCATGGTTGATTGTTTCGTTTTTCACTCACTGATCCTGCAAAATAATGTAAATTAAAAATATCAGTAACATCGTATTGAGATGCAAACATATTACACTGGTAACAATTCCAATTTTAAGAAATAATTGGTTGCAGCACAGATTGATCGATATATCGCAAATGCAGTCTCTTGCTAGGTGTAAATCAATACATAACAGATTATACTTGAATTATCATACATATTTCCATGCATTTAACAGACAATCTCCTAAGGTGTGGAATAACATTAACTTGAACTGGCTAGTAAAAAAGTCAAACTTATCATATTTTACGTTCATTTCAAATAGATTTTATTCGTTTCTTTTAATTCGTCTTAAACTAATTTGACATGTTTGTATTGTCGCATACAGCCTAACTAATATGAAATGACAATTGTAAATAATTTCAAATTACCTACCTTATAGAAAAATGTTTTTTAACATAAACAAATATTAAATATTGTAGATCCGAACTATAAATGAATTAATAAATTACTACTGAATATTTAAATGCTTCTAGGAGATAATATTAAGCCTAACTGGATACATACGTATGCTAATATACAGTTTCTGTCATGTACATTGTATTATGTTTACTTAACTGATTTGTGGCGGCCAAAGTGCACTGCAGTGTACCCACTTGAGTTAAAGAGGCAGTCTCATGATTATTATTGTACAGTAATGTCTTTGTTCATAACATAGTCAAAACTGTAAACCGGTGACAAAATTGTATGGTCCGTTTGATTGAGCCTGTTCATTGACGGTAGTGGTTAAGTGCAAGCTACCGTTCAAACCCACTAGCGCCGGTTAAAGCAGAAGTTCACATGGACATGGGCTAATGATATTGAATTTAAATTTATCCGCAGGTACTGCTAATGTTTTATGTTGTTGTACGTAACATCTAAACTACTCTTAAATTACATGTACATATTTTTGATATTTGATCATTGATATCATCATGTAATAATATCGAGATTTTAGGTTGCATGTACAGTAGAGTAAGAAGTAACAATTCCGGCCGTTATCTTCTTATTCTTGTCGTTCGCCCTTCTATAACTTCACCGCAGCCACAGCGATGAAATATGCAGTCTTCCAGAGGGCCTCAGGGTTCCCGTAGAGTTTCTCCTCCAGTGTGGTGCTTGCTGGTCACACTTCTTTTCGTAGCTGCTCTAGATATATGAGCACCTTTATAATATGTGTTCTGCCGTTTGATTTCCCAAGGAACAGCGCTAGGAGCATCTTGGCGATTTGGACAGCTTTAGTTTATCATGCATGTGTGTTCAAATATTCGGCATCCCAGATTTGTTTAATTACGACAATAACTCGTATATACACTTCACTTTTAAGTTTGTGTAAATTAAATCGACAAGCATTATTCACGCCTCAAAACTAACGCCAAGTCCGAAACACTATCGCCATGTATAAAGAAGCCTATATGGGCCATAAATTATGATTACCTACAGTATTCTTAGATAAAAAAAATCAGAATCATTTTTTAAAAAATGTTCATATCAAGTAAAATATTATTTAAAATGTAATTAACGTATATCAATTAAGTAACAGATATTAAGCATAAATTGGAAATAAATTCTATATTAATATGACATGAAAAACAGGCATGTTGCAACGGTACAATTACATTGTTTTCATAACCTTATGGTTATTTCTTGAGAAAAAAATGTAATAGAGAATATCACTATTATTTAACACATGAATTTTGTACGAAAATTAGATGAAAACATTTAGAACAAACTATTACCCCTTCTAATATTAGTATGTTTAGCGATTGTTTGGCACATGTTCCACTCATTTTTGATGAAACATACTGACAAATTTATTTTAATTCATGCATTCTGCAGCTATTCTGATCATGATACATTTATTGAAACTATTTTTGCAGTCCAAATACCCCAAATATACAGTTTTATATTTATGATTTGAATCTGAAGCAAAAATGAAACATGTGTCCTCTCTGTTCTATGTAATAGAAAGAGCACCGAAACACGAGGCTATCTGATTTGTACGAGGGGGCGTAGCCCCCGAGTATTAATCAGATTGCCGAGTGTTTTGGTGTTCTTTCTCTTTTGTATCATAGTCAAACATAAAAGCACGTTCCCTGTTGTCACAATATGAAACCCCGGCAAAAATGAACCAATGAACGAACATCTGAATATGACATTTCTGTCGCTTTCCCTTTCTCTGCCGTCACAATATGTAAACCCCAGCAAAAATGAGCCAATCAATGGGCATGCTCTGGAGTGCGGGTAACTAATACCCGCACTCCAGTTAACGCACGATGCATGTATATGTATAAATTTAACCCTGACACATTTTCAACAGAAAGGTCTCCAAACTATGATACAATTGGTGTTATTGACGTCATTTAAACACCTTTCAAATACTTCACATGATAACCTTTCAAATATACTAATTACTTTCTATTTTATATGTGTATTCAGAATCAGTTGAGATGTTGTTGTACTTTTTTAAAGCTAGGTTCATTTCAGATATATAAGTATTCCGAAGCCATATAGGTTACGCAATTGTTCGTTGTTTGTTTTATTCTGCGTATAATGCCAGATCTCTCTAAATGGAAGAGTCCATGCAAATATGGTCTAAAAATAACAGTTTCCCGCTTCATTTTTCGTTCAACTAAAATGAATTCAATTTGAGCCGCAATTGAAATACGTTAAGATAAAGTCAAACATAGTTTTAATTCTTAGATAACGTTGATGTATTTTTATATATATCATGTGTTTCAGAAACTAGAGAAGCCGATTAACTGTCAAGTTTGAATTTTTTTCTCGAATTCAAATAAATTGCATATACGAGAAACAAACCGACTGCAACCATGTGCACCTCAGTCTTATGAAGTGATAGTGATAAAAAGATAGCCCAATCCCTAATATCAACCAATACTAATACAAATGATAGCCAATCTGTAAATCATCAGTTGATAAAAGGTCATTGCCTTTATGACATCAGGAGCTTCTACCCTTACGTAAACATAAATCTGTTTGACCATCAAAAACAAAACACTAAACTGCACCCACTTTCTATAGAGGTATATAATTCGCAGTCGCGTTTTTTTTTCGGCTAAGTCATCAACATTTTGCTTTATGATATACGTGGATTAATCATATACAATAGATATAGCAATCAGTCGCCGTTGAAAAATTATGTAATCTATATCTTCGTTTACAATAAATGAAATACCAAATTTGATGAAAAAAAACCACTCGACATGTTTTTTTTCCCGACGGAACTTCCCAATTCAGCACGGATAAATAACCATTCACAAAATAGCACTTCGGGCAAGTTTAAAACATTGGATGCTGACTGCATTATGCCCTTTGTTGACAATTCATATCTTAAAAGTTTGCTATTTAAACTCGATTTCATCACATTATTGTGTCTGTATACATAGTGTCAGCATATTACGCCACAGGTATGAATTAACAAATGAAAACAATCCATTCTTTTTTGCGGACATGTTTAAAGAAAAAGTTTAAGTGCGCCTATACACGTGTGTTTTTAGTTTTATTTATGCTGGGCGCCGGCTTTTCCATATGTCCAAGACTATCGGCCTCTGTTATGGTCGTAGAGCCTGCAACGGAGGACTTAGTTCGCCTTCAAGGTCGCTGATCGTAGAGCCGCAACGGAGGTCTTCTCGTGCCGTCTTTCGTCGTAGATCTTCTCTCAGTTCTTCGATCTTGAACGCAGTGGACAATATAGAGGAAATGTACTTCTTCCGGGAGCAGCAGCTCTTTGTAGGGCCACACCCTTCGTCGTTACATGGTTAGGTCACACTAGCTAAGTGACCTGACTAGCTAGGTCACCCATCTGGTGTGACCTATGCCCTCCGAGCGACGTGCACGACGCGAAGGGAAGTCGAAGTCGCGCCTATACAAACACAATTCGAGCTATTAAATTATCTATGATAAAAGTCTCCCGGAGACCATTGTTATACTATAGACGAAATTAAAAGATTGTATCACATACCTGTGCCGCTTTTGCGACTCCGTAAAAATGGTATTGCACGGCCGTCACTTGCGTTGTACAAATATACAGATGCGCTTAAATGTAAGCGTTACTTTATAGGCGCGTCAATGGATAAACATTTATTTTAATGGAAAAACGGTTCTTTTGTTTTAGGTATATGATAAATAGAACATTATATTCGTGTAGGTTCATTACTAAATTTATTGAACTCGTTGAAAAAATAATAATAATACGCTCGCCAGAGGCTCGCATAATATGATTTTATACTACTCGGTCAATAAATTCAATATTGAACCTATACTCATTCAATATCCTCTATTAATTAATCGTGATGAATTTGGGAAAATTAAAAAAAAGAGAAAAAAAAACTGCTGAAATCGCGATTTGGGATATTTTTCAAGTTGGCTATTTCATTTATCGTAAAGGAAGTGAGATGACTTAATATATTTTCAACGGACATTGAAAGATGTATCTAATTCGCAACGTTTGTACGTATAGATATGAAAATATAGCTCATTAAAAAATTCGAGAGAAAATTGTTGCCTGTTATTTACCTTTTATAGATTATATATTATAAACGGACTGCCCTTCTGGCAACATGTGCTGCATCTTGATGATAAAAGGGAGATCAATTTTACGATAATTTTATCATTAGTTTACAAGGCACACTTGATGATTGTGAAATTGTATGTAAATATAATATTAAAACTACATGTATTATTAATCTAAACAGCAGCACGAAAGCATTTGAGCTTAAGATTTGAAACGTAAAATATTTTAATTAGTTCCTCTGTATGTGCGTTAAATATTTAGTATCTCTGTACCCCGGTCAGAGTTAGTAGTCTTCAACCTAAAAATCAGATTGAAATGAGGGCGGGGCATACGAGTACTTGGCAAGGTAGGTCATTACGCATGTGCAAAGGACATAAACTGAGTACCTGCCATGTTAGAAATTTTGAAAGTGCTGAAAGATACCATTTAACCGTTTTATTATATGTGATTTATGCCTTAGTTCGTAACGATGTCTTAGATATTTCACAAATGGTATCATTAGACATGAGTTTTCTCTCTTTTATGATGTAGAATTTCGTAATTATTAAATATACCGGGTCTGTTTGTATTGAATTATGCCCCTTGCTTCGTCACGGGGAAAAAATTGACAAGATAGTTGACACATTATTTACATTTTATTCAGGTGAGCAATTAGTTATTTATATATGTGGTTATGTCAAAAGCTTGTGTACTGATTGTTCTTAGTATATCTATTAAAGAATCTTTGTTCATTTTATAAAATTCGTAAAATAAACATAGGCGTGCCAACTGGTTGTGGACTGGTGAATGACAAAATTTTGTTTAAACCTCTGTACAAACACATTCACAAACAGATAATTTAAATGATTAAAACATAGATATGCGTGTTTATTATATTATAGTGTCATTATCTAAATAATTATTACATAAATCAATTTGTGTGAGTGCCATTATGATAGATCTGTGAAAATTATTTTTTCAAGTGATCAATGATGATATTTGGGGATATTTGCTTACCATCAGATTTTAGTTTGATTGCCAAATTTATATTGATCCAACAACTGATTTATGAACGATTTTTTAACCAAATTCTGATCAGAATACCTACTGTTTGCTTTTAATATGCAAGTTGTATTCAAGACCTTACTGGTTACTGATTGGCAGTGTATGTTTAGAAAGAGTAGAATTTCGAATGGGTGAACTTAAGATAATTTTGGTGTCAAAATATGACATGAATATTTCTGCATATCGGACAGAAGTTTCTACTTTTCACAGGAATACTAGCATAAACTAATCTAGCATCCCGTATATTAGTTAAAAAAAGTCAAAGTCATGCATGCTTGGATCTGAGCCTAGTGAGAGGCCTACAACGCAGAACTTTCAGAGCTGCTTACTGCTTTTAAACAGGATTATTCTGGGGGGGGGAACTGACTCAAGAGAGGTCAAAATTATAATTGAAAGTAAAACACAATGTATCATTGGCGTAATGAAAAATGATAACTTTGAGATTAAATTAATTAGCAAACATGCACAAAATTTTCCAGCTACTAAGGGGATCATCTGGTATTGTTAAAATTTGTTTTGCAACTATACAGTAAAGTTATATCCCTGAAACTTTTCACCTCTGTATACTTGTAAATTTATAAGCTATTATAAAAGGAAGTCAAATAAAAATGTTACTTTTATTAATGTTTGTAATTTCTTTTCGAAATAAGATTTATTTATGTTATGCAAGAAAAAAGTTTGAAATACTAGCTGTCATCACAGTTAGGAATATCGGGCTTATGATAACTATTTTGTTGAAACTCTGCAGTTTTATTAAGCACTACTGTACATAGATACTCTTGAACCAGGTATTTCTGACTATGACCAGCATCCAGTTTAAGATTCTTATAGTCCATCTCACTTTGTGTTGGGCATTTAGCAGGGTCTTTATCTTTATTGTTTCTTCAGAACATAGCATTTACAGGGAATTTGACCATAAAATCATCAAATGCAGCACAATTTCCTTGAACGGAGGCATTACCTGTTGCCTTAATCAATGTTACATAATGATATTTATATAAGTTGAATAGTGTAGGAAAATATTTGATGCAATTAGTCAATTTAGTGACATATGCTACAATTTAAGTACTAGTAAAAGTAGTATGCATTCTTATAATGCTTTGTATATTCTTGCCTGGTGAGTCAAGTTGCAAACTTCTGCTTTGCAGGTTGGGCTTATCCCCCACTATTATTTGTGTGTAAATTCAAAGCTGCCTGTGTGGGGACAGTGTGATGATAACTGATGATTACAAGTATGGGCTATGCCATTAAAACATACTCATTATGTCATAGTTAACCTTCATTTTTTGCAGATAATTGGTTGTACTTTTCTCACATGAGCATTTAAAATGCCTATGGAAGGACTAAAGAGACGTCTTAGCTTTCGCAAGAAAAAGAAAGATAAAGTGCCCGAGTGTTCTAAACCCCATCAGTGGCAAGAAGATGAGAAAAAAGTGAGAGAGGGAACATGTAGCTTCCAAGTCAGGGTAAATATGAATCGTCAATGTATTCTTAACTATAAATTTAATTCTTTACATGCTTTACAATAGTGACTTGCCCAGACGCCATCAGTGTAAAGATAAGTCAGTTGGACCTGGTCTTGTATAGTAACAGTTGTTCATTGCTCAGTGTCTGTATTTTAATGTTGAACCTTGGCAATAGAGACTTAAAGAGTACTACAGGTCCCAGATTGAAAGCAGGACAGTTTTATAACACAGATTTCTAGAGCATAAAGCAATGATGATAAAATAATTTAAGTCTTATTAACCTTAGGCAGTGTCACAATGATAGTACTTATCGTCTTATGACTAACTCTCTTGAAAAGGAAACAGAAGTTCACATTGGATATATTTCTTAAAATCTGTTATCATAGATCATAAATCAATAAAAAACAACCATGAAATTGACCTACAGGGATAATAATAAAATCATAAGAACTTTTTTATAAACAGGGCTTCCATTAGGTTTAAAAATTTGGAAATTGTGTGACATTGGAAGTCACATTATATAGGTACTAAGGTAAAGAAGGAAAAGCAATTAGCATTGTAATTTGGAAGTCGCAAGCCAAAAATCAGGAGTATGAATGACTCCCAAACCCTGTATAAGGACCGGTGAAGCTTTTCACTACATTGTTTTTTCCTGTTCATAATTAAATTGTTCAAATATTTCATTTATAAAAGGTTATACTTTTGCTTCAGGATTGCATGGTTTCGTTCATCAGAGACTACACTCTACATTACATTAAAAATTTAGTGTCAAACAATAATATGTTATGATATTTTTTGTAAACATTATTTGACACTTAGATTAAATACCCTTTTAGTGACCTTTAAACTTTTTATTCTTAAATAAAATTATGCTAATTATTGCATATTATCATGAATGGGACGTCGGGCACATATCACTGCATTAATTTGCTTATTTTAGTTGAATTACATATTACAATGAATTTGCTTTGACATACATTATTGTTGTTTTGACTGTTGGTTTCGAAATTGTTATGATACTTAGTTATTTACTATGTAATAGTACACTAGCTGGTATTTAGATCAATTTACAGTTTGTCTGAAACTCATATTATTTTTGTGTTTTATATATTTATTAACTGCATCAGTAAGATTGTTGCCTCAGCTTATATCAATTTTAAGATTATATAGAGGTATAAAGATGGTTTTGTCTCCTGCCCAATGCTACGAATAAGCACAATACATAAGAGGGATAATGATTTACACTATTTATACATTTTCTAGAAATTTTCTAGTTAGTAGTTATAAGGATTTTTTTTCTCTAAAATGATTAGTGATTTTGTCCTGATTGAAAAATGGACAATGTCTGTTACTGTAAAATATTGAGGGTGGTAGGGGTTGATTCTATTCGAGCTTGGTGTGATTATGAATAGACAACAAGCAAACCTGTGTTTTTTGTGCCCTTTGTCCAGATTCAATACTCCTGGCACTCTCCTAAAAATTTCATTTTGGTATAAGAAACTCTTTTTACAACTAAAGAAAGGATAGGTCCAAATTGAATTTAATTCAAAGCAAAATAACTCAATTTTTATGGTTATAGATTCATTATGTTATAGAACTTTAAGAAAAATGAAATTATGTAAGATACTGTTCTATGTCATGAGTTTTAATAATGATGCACAAGTTAAGAAACTGCCTGAAAATTGATTTCAGTTTTCACCGCCAGCTTCCTTAAAATAGTTTTAATGATGTAGTTCATAGCTAAAATGATTGATTTCAGTACAAACAACATGATCATATTAATCTATATTAGACCTAACAATATTGATAGATTTTGTTATTGCTGAATTCCAGCTTTCAGTGTGGTTTTTGTGGAACAGCTGTGTCACTTGAATTAGTTTCCAAGGCTTATTTGTTGACCTTTAATCATCAATCTATTAAGCTTGAAGTAAAGATATTATATAGCTTCTTTAATGTAAAGGATTCTTTAGTTTTTGTTGTGTTTGCTTAAAAATTTTAAAAAAAATGGAAATTATATGATTTATGAAAATGCAGAAATGTACATCATGTATGTACAACAGCTTTTGTTCAATAGGCAACTTGGCAAATGTGATTTTTTTTAATCTTGTACCCCAACTGTGGCAAAAAACCTTTTACTGTTCTACCATCCACAACCTGTTGTGCTTACTTTCTAAGTTTGTTTGGGAAAACCCAAAATATTCTTAATTCCGGGGCAAGTCTATTAATATATATTGATATGAATATATACATCATTACATGGCTGTTATGAAATGGATAAAAGACACATACTTGCTGCACTTGCTTGATCCGTGTACCCATTTATTGCAGTGGAATGTTTCCCCTGTAGGTTATCTATTTTTATCAGTATTATATTGTGTTTCTCACCCAGACAGCTTCATTAAATTAATCAGCTAGGAATCAATACATCACTCTCTAATTATATATTGTACCAGAAGTTCTTTAAAAACACCACAAGGAAAGAATCAATGGCTCCTAAACTAACATATATTTGATGCTGTGGTTTTGGGAAATTTGAAGTTTCTGGCATATTAATTTGTGAACTATTTAATCAAAAGAAATAAGATAGTAGTAATTAAAAGTATTTAATAAAAATAAATAGAATGTTTTTCTTTCTTTCTGCAGAACACTAGCAATAAGAATAAACAGTTGAACCTGTAATTATCAGTAATATCAGTCAACTGGGCTGGCCCACCAGTTTGTGATACCCCCAACAAAAATCAATCTATTTTACACTTCTGGTCATTGGTCAGCTGCTGTCACCTAAAATGTATTGTAAATCTTAAAACTAAGCCGTGTTGTTAGCAGCTGGCTAGCAGAGAGGTTAAGTGGATAGACAGTGTAAATTTTTTCAAAGGTGAAACTCGTAACTGAAGAGATTATTTACAAAAGCCAAAGGTCACAAAATGTTGAATTAATTTGCATAATCCCTCTGTTTATCACATAATGACATATCTTAGTCAATCTAATTACAAACTGATTATATTATAAAAATTTACACTCATGTACAAGTTAATGATATTATGTGGACTGCTTAAGACAAGTTTGACTGTAACTCCAAAATTCAAAAACTTTAAGCGAGAAAGAGCAAAGGAACAAACCATACTTTAAACTTGTTTGTGAAAGAAAATAATGATGAATAATTATACTGAAAAGGTCAAACACTCATTGATTGTATATGCTGTATGTGTCAGTTTGATCACGGGAGAGAAAAAAAACAGAAGCCAGGGAACAAATACAATTATGTAAGGTTTGTAGTTTTTGAGTGACCTTGCTTTGGTCACCAGGATGTTTCCTTTTTGGGTATTACTTAATTCTTAAACTAAAGTATTGAATAATGTTTTAAGAGCTTGGTTCTCAATCAAGCGAAAGTACATATTAAATAATTATTTTCACGTTTACTTCAAATGTGACTATTTAGTAATTTTAGTTTGCTTAATCAAGTCATATGTCAAAGGTCATATTTAACTTTTATTCCCTTACACAACACCAGTTATATTACCTTAATACTTTGAGACAGATGAAGAGAGAGAAAGAGAGATAAAATTTCACCCTAGAACTGTGTGTGATCAAAGTTCTTTTATTTCAGGTCCAACCCTACAATTATTTGATTTAGCATTTAGGCTTGGGTCTCATATTTCAAGTTTTATAATTAATGACACTGGTCATTTATCAGTATTACATTAATCAAGACTGACAGATTGGCTCAATCAGGCATAGTGTAAGGTCAACTGGGTCACTACAGTAAATGTAAAGATACAAAATGTACATGTTTACCTGATACTAGAGTGTTGCTAGCTGCCATAATATCAAACATTATGTCATCAATATAGGTGTATTCATGTATATACAGTGTTAGCTAAAATGCTATCCGTGTATTAACTACTTAATAACAGTGTTAAACATTTAAACAACCGTAGTAAAATAATTCTTAGATTTTAAACATTAACTAAGATAAGATAGAACATTTTGTTTGTATTTTGTTATACTCGGCAACAATAACAAAACATAATTATCTGATTTTAGAGAAACTGTTGTCCGTTAGGATAGTACTGTAAATGATAAGATAGCATGCAATCAAAAAAATACATTTGAAATACAGACAAAATGTTATATTGTGTCATAAAGAAACAAAGGTAATGGTAAAACCCTATCTAAATTTTCTTCAGCGTTAACTGTCATGATAGTTCTTCTGTAATAAAATGGCTGAGACCACTTTGGGAATTGTTCAATTATGCAATATAATATGCATGGAGTATTTACTAAGATGGTTATGTCAATTACTAGGGTGTGATCAGGCACTGGGTTATACCGGTTTGAAGGTATTGAAGCAAAGGCTTAATGCTTTTTTTGATGGAGATGTACAATATTTTGTCCCTGGCTTCTGTTTTGTATCAATATTGTCATTTTGATGCTGTGATATTTAGGTGAAGTGTCCCAGAGATAATGTTTCCCCAAGACATTGACACTGTCAGATGAATTTTTTATGAGTCTGTTCCTATCAGAGGATGTGTATTATACAGTATACAAGAGAGTAACAGATAATGCAAACCAATAGTTGCCTATTTTTTTGCCTGGTTTTTGTTGTTGTTTTTTCCCCCTACATTATTTTATTATTCTGCTGATCAAAGTTTAATGGAAAGAATAGAGACAGCTTTGTTGGGAAAAAGTCTTTTAGTCTGTTGGTTAGTAAACTATTGCATACATAAATAAAGTAAATTAGTTTGTTTACGGGGCAAAGATTTGTCTAGTTTTGCATTTGTAGAACTTTGTTGTCTATGTTTTTCTAAGACAGACTTTGTAACTACATTGTACTTAGTGATATTGAATGGTTTCTGTTTTATTAAAGAAGTTATAAATGGTCTCTTACAGGGCTGGGTACCACCATGGTATTATTGTTAATACCCTGTATAGCACCACTGTTACTGTATACTGCTGCCATAGAAAAATATCATGAATAAAAATTAGGACAAATTCTCCACGAAACATACAAATTCTCCACGAAACATCAATTGAAAAACTAGTCATTTGATTTAATGCAAGAATTGGCTGGAAATATTACATTACCAGATTATGTACTAATAAAAAAAAAAAGAACAAAAAATATTTGTATAATCTTCAGATCATCTCCAATACCATAATTTATACATTTGATAATTTAAATCAAATATGTGTACACACGTTGCACTTGTTTCAAATTTCTCACATACGTTTGTCAATTTATATTGTTAACAAATAAGTGTGAAGATTTCATTTAACATTGTTTTTTTTAAATTTAACTATAAATACAGTGTTTTTGGTAGACTTTGTTTAGAATTAAAAATGCAGGGCAACCTTTTGTTTTGGTTGGGTTTTATGTTGCACCATTAAAGGTCATATGGCGACTTTCCACCTTAAATGGTGCATGATGACCTCAGATGTTCTTCCTTGCATTATTTCGGGCACCTGTGTAGAACTAAGCTATCTCATAATATAAAAGTATGGAAAGTCCCTCGCAAGACTCGAACCAAAAGTGGTGATGGGTAGGTAGCTTGATGTCATTACCTTTAACAACTCGGCCATGTACACTCCTGCAGAGCGACCATTAAAACATTTGGGTTGCGTTGAGTTTATCAGGATTAATCCCCAAAGTATTTGTAGTGTCAATCATGTGACCCTTTGTAATAAACCAGGAGAATCTTAGAAAGTATGAATAGAAAATATGCATAGATGTAGATTGATGTTCTGATATCCTACAAATAACAAATAGAATCACAGATGATTTTGATGATACATGCATATACCAATATTTCTTGATGAAACTGTTGTATAGAAAAACCCTCTTTCCAGAGATAATTTGCAACATGGTAACCATTATATTGTGCACCACTTGTCAGAATTGACATCTACCTTACTCATTATATCTTCAAAAATGTTTTTGATACATTATAGCTTCCAAAAACAGATATGAGGGGTTTTGCACTTGAATTCTAAAATTAAGCTGTCAAAAATATAGACCTGGGAGTAGGCTGTGGATATCAGAAGGTTTGCCATGGTCAATGTATACAAGTTGTGCAGGCAATTCATTATCGTTGCTTTGATTCATCACATACTATCTGCATTGAGTAGTGATTTCATAAAACATTTTTTCTGATTGAGCGAATTTGAGTCTTTTTGTGAAAATTTACCAATACTTGTATATGCATTCTGTTCAGAATTGATGGGTCTTTTGTTACATATATGTCATATTGAGAATCATAAGGAAATAAACAATGGTAATAAAACTTGATATAAAAAAAGGGAAATCATGTGATAAATTATTGTATTCTTTACTTCTATTCCATTTTTATCTGATGAATTTGGAAACAATAGAAAGGCTGTCATTTACTTCCTGAAGTGAATGGTTTCGTTGTTTTATATGTAACATGTAGTGAGAAAAAAATGTTAGATATTTCTTGCTGAATAGGGAAGTTATATTAGGTTTATCATTCTGCTATATTTGATTATTGAGTAAATAACCAGGATATGTTTTATAAATATGATTAACCCTTGACCCTACCCCCACCCTCTTCTTCAAAGAAGGACATTATCAAGTAGATTTTTAACCCTTAAGGTCAGTTGATATATTGTGCAAATTAAAAATGTTTATGATGTTATGTATATGTTTTTTTTTTTGAAGTTATTCATGAATATGTTTTCTAATAGGGATATACTACATACATTTTGAAACATTCTAAGATACTTGTCTTTGGCATTACATGTAATTATTATTATACAGAGCTTTACTTAACCTACATGTATAATCTCTAAAAAAGTTGTCTTTACTTGTATTAGATTTGCTATATACAATGTATAAAAATTGGATACATTTGTAAATGAAACCATCTCTTCAAGTTTAGAGTCTTATTATTTTGATCGAGCATTATCATTGTTAGATTTATTTAATAAAATAGTGTACATGTATATATTTTCAGTATTTGGGTTGTGTTGAAGTGTTTGAGTCTCGGGGTATGCAGGTGTGTGAAGAAGCGGTGAAAACACTCAAAGATGTAAGTCTTGCAGGAGTTGGTTATAGGTCTTTATACACTATTTTATAATGCAAGTTTGGAGTTGCGGTAACATGTGTGTGTGACCAGACTAAACTGCTGACAAGTCAGCAACATTGATATAAAGCTGCATGCCTCCAGATGAGCCAAAATATTTCAAGAAAATCACACTTGAAAAAATTTACTAAAAGTAAAACTTTAGAAAAGGTAAAAATATTCATGATTCAAGTAATAATTTACAGGTTACATGCGTTTCAAGACTGATTTTGAAGTATTTATCACCATATTTCTACTGTGTGACTAAGGCAGTTTTCTACTGCGTTACTAACACATACGTGACTAAAGCAGTAAGGGCTAATTTTGACCTCTTTTTGGTAATTTGCATTGATTTTAGGAGCTCGGATTGCAATGTGTAAATTATTTTCTTTGTTCACCTCACCATATTTTGCTTTTAAATACATTTTCAAAATTTTCATAAAAATAAGCATGAATCTGGAGCATGCTGCTTTAAAGTTGAAAGTTAAAATAAATGTTTTCAACTCTAAATATTAAGAAAGTAATTCATCTGAGTTCAATAGTTGTACATATGATATACATAACTAAATGTTATTTGATACATTCACATAACCATTTGAATAATTATATACATTTATCTGTTTGTATAGGTGATAACGTGTAGTCAAGTTTCATTTGTAAATATCATTGCTTTAGCATCATAATTGTCACACATCAATAAAAAGTTTATGCAGAATTTATTTTTAGTTTTATTGTGTAGGAAGCTATAAACTTTATAAAGACACACTTTTGGGTCTATTTCTAGAACAAACCAGTACAAAGCAATGTGCGAAAAAAATATTTTTTGCACAAGGAAAAGGGGGTTACTCCTAACTGGGTTTGAACCCACACAATGATGTTTAATCCTTTGCACTTGAATACTGACTTATTTAAACCACCACTATCAAGTCAAGCCAGCCTAATGTCTGTACAGTTTTGACTGGTCTACCTCTATGTTGTAGGCTACCTAGCTTTATACCTTGATACTGAAATTCTTCCAGTTGACTGTTTCATTTTAATAATGGCAAGTTCATTACACAAACTCAGCGGGGTAAGATGAGCTTTAAGGCAAGGGTTTCAATGATAAATCATGCAACTTGCTTTACTGGTTTCAAGTTTATTGCTGAAAATTTAAGAAATATGTGGTAAGGAGTTGCCCCACTTGGCTTAATAGGGACAACATGGAATTAGTTATCCAGGGGTCGTTGGTTTGATACATGACGTAATTTTGTCTGTGACAATAGATCTCTGACATTGAGTCAAATTGTCATTTGTCTCGCACTGCTGACTCAGAAATTGTGTGGAGAAGTAGTCAGTCACTTGTGGAGAAACTGGTAATTACTGGTTACCAGGAAAGCCGGTTTGATGGATCAACTGATGAGATATCCCTAAAAAGATTTTTAAAATCAATTAAAAAAAACAACAACAATTCACCCACTGCATGAGTGAAAATTTTCAGGATTATTCCTGAAGTTAAGGATTTTCAGTCTCCTGAAAGCCTTCTATTTCCTATGTAAAACTATAGAAAAATGCAAAATTCAGGATTTTCAGGATTTTTAAAATTTCCAACTTTCACCCCATGCAATTGAAAAACGAACCAAGTTTGGCGTTTGAAACATGATTATACATGATGATAATGAAATATAGAAAGAGAAAGAATTAAGATGTATGTCAGGATTACTCCGATTAGTTCTGTTCTGGTTAGTTCTGTTCGAATGATAAATAATAGTTCACTATTCTTATCATTTTATGTAATCTCATTGCTGTCTGAGAAAACGTATTACAGTGAAGTCTAATTTCCTATGTTTTAGGTCTAGTTTTCAATCTTTTAGATAAATTTGTCATTTTATGAGCATATTTCATTGTTAACAGTGAATAACAGTATAATCAATAATGTTTTGTAACTTCAGAAATGTAAAGGAAAGTACCAGCGAGCAATTCTCTATGTATCTGGTGACGCTCTGAGGGTTGTTGATGAAATCAGCAAGGTTTGTTATATTAATATGATAACATATTTGTATCAACTCAGAAGGCTGTGGGTTCAAATTATTCATGTTGGAATAAAGAGACATTGATTTCTTGCATTTGAGAAAGCTATCAAGCTAGATTTGTAGTTTGGGTGGTTCTACTTTGATATCAATGGTCATCTACCACTTAAAAAAAAACAGTCAAAACAATAGTTGAAACAGATGGGGTTTTTTTTTGGGACAGCTGTTGGGAAAATATTTCATTTTTGAAATTTGCGGGGAAAATAGATGTCATGTGCTGAAAGTAAAAAAATTTGATGAAAGTCAAATGATATAAATGACTGGTAATATATTACATATCAGATATATGTCAGATTAGTAAAT